ATGTCAGCCCCAGGGGATTTAAAATATAGAAGATATGATCTCTTGTTGAGACAATGTAAGCCACTTAATTTGCAGACCTTGGGCTGCACAGCACATGTCCAGTTCTGGCTGTCTATCAAGAAGGAGCTACAGTCACGCATCAGCTTAGATCAGGGAGCTGGGAGTCTGAAAGTGAAGGCTAGATCAAAGAGTCAAGAAGCCACTCACTGTTCTGAGAAAAGAACAGCTGAAAAGGACAAGTAACAGATACAGAATAGCAGTCCTCACTCACATCAGCAAAGGCACTGGGGCCATGTGGTGTTTCTAGTGTTGTATTCTGCATTGTGTTCCCAATATCCCTGGTAGGCAATAATTTATTCTGTTGGGATGACCTCTATGAGGTGTTCCATCCACGTCAAGAAATTAACTTCATTTTTAATGGAGAGCAAATGCTACTACAGAAACATTTGTTAAACCAGAGGAGGATTCTTTTGCAGCCCTTTCGATGTACCTGAATGGATTCCTGCTCTTATCTTTAGGAGGGTGTTGGGCTTGTGTGGGATCTTAAAAGTCTTGCAGACATCCAGAAGATCTAAAGCCATGCTTGCGATCTCACCGGCATGAAGGATCCCATTCTCTTTGGGTACTCCTGACACCACCATATCTGAACACAACAATGCAACTGTGTTAATCTTTGGCATTACACACAGTTTTACCAAAGGATGCTGCCAAAATTACAAAAAAAAAACCAAAGCCCTATTCCTTCATACCCTGCAGCGCAGTTGTGCTTGCTGAACAGAGGAAGCCAGAAACAAATGAAGGATGGGGCAACAGCTCATGTGTGTAATTACCTTAGCTCTGAAAAATGTTGGATTTCCTTCCTAATTCTCCATAAGATTTATTCCCTCCTACGCTTTCTTCCTCCCTCCCTCCATTGAGAATGCTTGAAGTGGGATAGGTAGTGGGAAAGTGGCTGTTCAATACCTTTTGTCTTTGGGCAGATATTACAAAGAGAGACAATGATTCCCACTAGGCATTGTCCTATGCTTCCTGCACTGACGCTTAGTGTGTAGGAGAAGAGACAGGTCTTTTCAGGATCCTTCAGGTGCATTCGTTCAGGAATTTTAGGCTCCAGAATGTGCTCAACCATGCCACCGAAAAAGAAGAGTGGCTTTTTACTGTACATCTCTTAAAGCATTTCCTGTCTGTCTTATCCAAAAATCCTGCTAGATTCTGCTAGGTTTTTGATGTAACTCAGTTTTAATGGTAGTAAATCCCCAGCAGATTTCCATGGTAGCAAATAGAAAGTAATTTTCCTAATAATCCAAAAAGAAGAGGCAGCCAAGCCCCTACAGAGTATTAGGAGAGAGAAGGTTGTCATGGTATTTGTAAAAAAGACAGAGACAATAAAATTTATAGAATGGCGTCTATGCTCCATTTTTCAGTTGTGTTCCTGTGAAACGGAAGTTGCCAACTGGGATTAATCTGTTGCCAAGGTTTAAATTCAGACCTTACAGGCCACAGGAACAAAATAAACAGCAATGGAAGTTTATTCAACTCATTTGTCCCATGCACAACAGTCATCAATTGTAGAAATGATGAAAGATATGCAAGAAAATGTTCCTAAAGTTTGCTAGTGCTCTGCTAGGACTTCTGCCCTAATTGTTTTGTGTGCTCTTCCCAGTGGTAAAAAGCTTTCCAAATCTCCTTCATCTGTTCTTCCTCATCATCAGATCAGTCTCTACTTTGGTGAAATACCCATGCCCCATCATTGTCCACAGCTCAAGGAACTTACAGGCATCTCCTATTGTCTCCACCTTATAGACATCATAGTTATCTATGATTTCATCAAAAGTGGTATAAAGCTTGTTCAAGAGATCTACCACTTGGTAAGGAGTGCTGCTGCTGGACAGCTGAGTGAAGCCAACAATGTCACTGTTAAAACACAACAAAAAGAACATCTCATCCACCATCTCAACCATTGCAGATACTGGTAATCCTAAACGCACAGTAACAATTTCTCAGTGGAATTACCTCAATCTTCTCTTTTTCAGCATTTCTTTCACTAAGGATCTCACAGAACAGTTTTGTCAACCATTTACTTAAAATGAAAACAGACTACCTTCCATTTAAAAGGACTGACTGACCTAAGTCTTTTTGCTTACCAATGCAGTAAACCATTTTTTACAGCTAGACTTTAATCTGCGACAGACTAAGTAGCCTTTAGTTTTGGGTTATGTACAAATGAAAAAAGAGAACTTAATACCTCTCCATTTTTGAAAAGCTGAAGACATGCAATTTATATGTTACTCCATGCACACATAACAAATCAAAGACTGTAAATCCATGTGGACTCTAAGGATAGACAAGTTTCCTTTACACAACTAAATGCTGGAACCTTTACTTAGGCCTATCCTACAAAGCATACATGGGTATGTGCATGACACACATAAAGTGAGTGCTGCTGTGTATTAGAGCTCCACAGTAATCTCATTTTTTATTTGAGTAATTATAACAAAAAATACAGAGGTGTGAGAACTTTGAAAGACACTCATTTGCAGAGTCAAATGTTGCCACTTGGTGTGATAAATGACAGTTTAGGTAGAAATTCTGTCCACGGTTAGGAGGTTCTCCTCCACTGGAAGCCTAGAAGTTTCTTCAGTAGGAGTCAGTTCTAGACCTATCTTTCATTTTTGTTTACCTGAAAAAGATGGTGGCACTTAAGTAACTTTGAGCTTGTGCATGTTTTCCCTGTCTGAGATCATCTGCTACTTGCTTTGGCAACATACCTGTTGTAGAAAGCAGAGTTGTTACTCTTTGCCATGGATAAAAGCACACCATAAACACAACATGTTTGTTTAAAGGTATAAAAGCAATGTTCGTAAATGTGAAATATTCTGAAAACAAAAGCACTCTTTAGAATCAAAATCTGCAATGTGAGAATTCACAGTAAATCTCACTGATAACAAGTCCAGATTTTTCAGATGACCTGTAACTTTTAGTTTAAACAAACCAATATCTATACATTTCAAGTTAGAGTAAGGTTAGATTCTAATAGTGTGACTTTGGATATTACTAACTGCTTCTTTGCCAACTCTTTACTAGTATTTTCTTCCTGTGTTAGGTTCGTTTACTATCTCTGCTCAGATTTTTTTGATCTTCTTTATTTCTCCTGTCTTTCACTTTCACAGCCTTTTGCTTTTCTCTCCTATGTGTAATACCTGTTCCTTTATCCCTCTTCTCTTGCAGCATTCCAGAAGATACGCTGCCATCAAAAGAAACATCAGTCCAAAAGCAATTCACTAATATTTATAACTATACAGAAGGACTGTCAAACAAGATCAAAGTGAGAGTACCGTGGATTCTGGAGTCATAGCTCTCAGATGAGTGCACTGATTTTTAGGGGTAAAATTAAAAAGTAGCTAAATACCTTTCTGGCTTTGCAAGGAAAAAGCATATTAATTCATTGCCAAATAAATGTCATCTATTAAATAATCACCTATCAAAGGGGGTTTGTCTGTAATTAGTTAAAATAAAATTATTACTGAGAAGAATATCCATTATTTTTGCTATACGACTTACTACACTTACTATACAACAGACGATCTGTCTTCTGTTTTTCATGCATTAAATCCTGGGTTCTCTCAGAAACCAGTATCTCCAGATGTTTGCTGTATTTCTCCATCTAAATAACATAGAGAATTGCATAAAATGATCCTTTTACAGAAACAGATTCATTATTGGATAGGATTTAATAATTTGAACGATTCTGCTTTGAAAACATTCAGATAAGCAAAGGCTCAGGTCTGAGAGCGCTAATTTTTTCTTACAAAATCTAAAGATCAGATTTCTCCCTAGGTAAATTTCTAATTATAGAATTGAAATTGTTGCTTACACTTAAGAGGGCAGAAGCCAATTTCAGACTTTTCAAAGACATGGATTAAAATATGTTACCAAACCCGAAGGTATCAAAGTCTCAATCTTTTATCAAAAGATTTGTTTCACAAAATATCCTGCTATGCTATGCTATGCTTTTGGCATCCTTGCTGTCCGTGAGGCAACACGCTGTGGAGGAAGAAATCTCTTTTCTCTGCTGATGGGCTTAAGATATTCTGCTCAAAATGCATCTGTACACGTTATTTGTGGCATGCAGGGATTCTACACCTCCAATACTGTAAGACCACCACTGAGGCACCGCCAAAAAAAAAAAAAAATTTCCTGTGAGGACTTAAAAATAAAACAACATTTGACTGAAGAAACTAAAGTTTTCAGCCCCAAAGAAGCTGAGAAAGTTAAGGAAAAAATGACAGAAATGGAATGAGAAAGAAAGCTGAGTGTTCAGCAGAACTGCAGCTACAATCAGCCTACCAGTAGGTGAATGAATGACTATGGCTTTTCTCATCAAACGGGGGGTATGAGATCAAAAACCAAACCTGAAGGATACAGGTGAAAGTTATTACAACTGAGCAGATTGACTTGGATTGGATTAAAAAAGTAAATTTACCAGAGTCATCATCATGTCAACAGGGCTAACTTTATTTGGATTCATTTTGTACAACATTTTCTTGACTTGTTCAAATGTAGGCCTTTGGGCTGGATTATTTTTTCTGCATCTTCTGATTAACTGCAGCGGAGAAAGAAAGTGAGAAAAGCAAACAAGCTTTTGTCATTCCAAGCACAGGCAGTGTTTCTAATTAATACTACTGTTTTCTAGGTGCAAACTGTGCATGTGAAGCCCTGTCTGCAGCTGGTGAAAAGTGGCAGAGCTATACTGAGGTCTCCAGCATTCTCAGATTTATGCTGAATGAAGAATGTTAGTTCATGAAAATGCTACAGTGGGAAACGATAATTAGATGCTCATGTTTCTTCTGCAAAACACTGCTTAAGCTCTTCTCTTGTGCTTTAGCACAGTGTTATGCTGTTGGAGTCACATACTGTTTTCAGAGGACGTGCCTGTATGCAAAATTCACAAAAGATTAAAAACCCAACAAGTTCTTAAGAGTGTTAACTCCTGAATAAAATCTAGTGCTGCTTACGAGAGGTTTGTAACATTTAGGTTACTACAAATCACCAAAGGTGAACTATGTAGCTCTTAAGCTGAAACGAGAATGCCACAATCTTATTCTGATTTAATTGAACTGAGAGGGGATGTACTTTGTTTTATTAGGCAGTTTGACTGAACAAATAGACCTTTGGCATGAGAATAAAACCATACTCCTACTTTGCCTGAGACACATACTTCACTATTTCAGTGTCCTTTGCCAGTAAGCTAGACAAGTATTACTAATATAAAATACGTATGGAACTCAACACTTTATAATAAAATGAAAATGCACGAAAATCAATGATTGAATATTAAAACCATCATTTATTACACTGACAATTTGAGGGGACAAGTGAAACTTTCAATTTGTCAGAACGACTACTTTTTTATTAAAGATATTAAAGCATTTCATTGTGCCTTGTTTTAGATGTACTTCTTGACTTCTGAGTTGTTTACACTCACCAAAGGTAATATCGCCATAAAACTTCCGTGACACGTCTTAAATTCACTTCAGTAAATAATTTTTGTATGCAATATTGTATCTTACTCACCTCTATGTAATCTGTGGGACATGGGCAAGAATTCTCAGGCTTTCCTGAAATTAATTCTGCCAAAGGTGGACACCAAGAATATTCAGCTGAATGCACATCGTCTTTCTAGAGAAAAAAGGATTAAACAATGTTGAAACAACTAGTGTGTTTTTTGAAAACATATTACTATGATCATAATTACTTTTATGACACCTTCCCTATCACTTCTAGATCTGCTTTTATACATGAGTGTAGGAGAAAATAAAGGATATAACCCAGTCTAAACTGGGTGGCCTTGTCTAAAACCTTTTTCGTGGCTGAAAGACTTAATTCAGTGTTTATATGAGGTAAACAATTTTTGAAACAAATAACTGGGAAGATACTGGGAAACTTTTGAGAAACCACAAGGCCTACATTTGACTATTATCACAAACTGTCAGAAATGCAAAAATGGCAGTTTCAGATCTTTATTGTTAGAATTCTTGTTAAGCAAATTATTTCAGACAGAACATGGTTACATGTCCAGAACATCTGGTTTCAATTTCAAGGTGCATTTTTTGTGTTCGCCATTTAACACTGGTCACAAGACACGTGCAAAGAAGATATTTTTCTTATGGAGAACAGCTCATTTATTCTTCTAGCATATTCTTACCATTGTAAGACTCCACTGAAGGGGCCTGTGCATGGCAGGAAAGGGACAGAAGAACAGGAGAAAAAGGAAGATGTTATGGCATACCTTCCCCTGCTACCCCCCTGCCATCAAACCTCACAGAGCTAACCAAAAGGCAATTCTGGTGCTACGTTATTTTTGTCATACGCTTTTCTTCCAAGTCCTGAAGCGAAGACAGGTAGATGCATGAGAAAGCCCTGACTGCATCTTCCATTGGAACTGAACTTGCACCCACTAAATCAAGAGGAAAATGCATGCTCAAAAAATAAATCAAAGGTGCAGTTACTCAGAGTTCGGTTTGTATCTTCAGCAGAACTAGAATCAAAGTTGTCATGCAAACTTCAAAGTTCATCTTTACTTACTGGCATAGGGTCACTTCTTGTGGCAATTTCTAGTAAAATGATGGCATAACTGCAGAACAAAAGCAAACCAAAATCTTAATGAAATAACAGTTAATGGAGTCAGTGATTTCTTCCTTCTGTTATTTCTTATTCTGCCCCATTTTATGACTGAAAGCCCAGTATCCCAAAAGGGGGGATGGCAACAGTGCTGCTATCTGTTACTACTCTATTTTCAGAAATCTGTCACTGATAATTTCGTAGCAGTCTCCTCTCACAGATATCAGTCTCAGAGATGAAGGATTTTAGTTTGATGGACAGCAAGGCAATTTTCTCTGGAAGAATTAATGGAATCCAGAAGGGATATGTACAGGGACTTACATGATACCTACCCATTAAACATACAGGACAGGTTTGTGCTGTAAGGAAGGGCAGGAGCAGGTTCATCAGGATCATCAGCTGGAGGAGTGACTTCTTTTCAGCATAGATCACTGTTCTGGAAAATCTCCATAATGTCAAGGATGAGACAGTGTGTCCAGAGTAGAACTTTTACAGTAAGAATTCTTGCTTGCTCTTTCTGAATTATATTTTCATCATCGTCATCTTCCTCAGATAAACCAGGGTCAACTGCATTCATCGAGGGTGAAGAATGGAAAAAATGAGGTAACAACTGGCTGTTCAGTCTCCTTATTGAACTCACTAGAGATCTTCTACAACAGTGATCTCTAAGAAGCCAGCACCTCCTCCAGCCAGCAATCCTGATAAAGATGCTCTTGCCTCTTTATGTATTGAAACAGTGTAATAATTAACTCCTCTCACGCATCTCTGCTTGATAACATATATTTTTATGGAGAATATTGGTTTGCAATCTGTTGTATTGCTAATGGTTGCTCTGTTCTGTAAGGCATTCTAGCTGTATAATGAGGTATGTCCATCTGTCTTTCAGTCCACTCACAGGCCACCACTGGGAAATAAAATAATGCATATAAACCACGCAGAATAATGTAGAAATTAATCTGAGAAGATTTTTGCGTTAATTTGGGGGTGATATGGTAGTAGAAAGGAATACCAACTCTGGGGAGATAGTAAAGCTGAAACAGATTTTCAAGGAGAGTAATTAGAGGATGGTAACTCTGATGAAGCAGTATTGATTTTATTCAGCTTCAGCAGCACTGCTCAAAAAAGTCCTAATGTAGTGGACAGTGAAATTCACATAATGATTACAAACCAAGAGAAGCCAATCTAGGAGAAACTGTGACTGGAAACAGCTTCTTCAGCTCAAACAGGAGCTGCCTTCATGTTCCTGTTCTCATTTCCATTTTAGCTTTCCCATCTGACCAACACATTTCCTGGAGAACTTTAAAAGCAAGTGATTCATCTGTAAGAGCACACAAAATTACAAGTCCCACTCCTGCAGTTTCTACTTATTTTTCATTTGGGCCACACCTTCAGGAATATTAATGGAATTTTTGCACAGATAAAAATTGAGGATATCAAGACTGGGACACTGCTCCCTGGCCAGTGAGTACACATACCTGTATCAAGAAGGCGTACCACCTGCTCATGTCATCAAACACAAACCGTGTTAAAATGCAGGTTCTTAAGAATAGCTCAGTTAAAAAGACAACCCTTTTAAGGCTACAGGGTATATCTCTATCTTTCTTCTCTGATTGGACATTGCTCTTATCCCTCTTCTGATTTAATCTCTCACTGTTTTGTTTTGTTTTGGTTTGTTTTTTTTTAATAAGAATGGATGAACTGCAGTACAACAAAAGAAGACCTGGATTTTGCAGACACGGGAACTGACAGTAAGATAAATTCAGCAAGCATTCACTGAATCTGTCAAAAGTTCATTATAGTCATCTATGATACAAGCAAATCAGCTCTTAGCACTATTTTGAGGGGAGTCCTTGGAAAGAAATGGCTTCAGGAGGCCAGGTTGCCTGTAAAGTCAAGTAACGATATCTCACTGGAACAGGGGCAACGTGTGAACCAGATAAGCACCAAGGAAACATTTTCTGGAATGCATTTTGGCTGTGGGGCAATGATAAACTGCAATGCATAAGACAATCCTAAAATTACTGCTTAGTTGGAGCACAGTACATTCTAAGACCAGTCCATGTCGAGAAAGACCCACACAAGACAACTGACAATAGCCAGAAATGTCAACACAATGACAAACTGCCTTTAGCTGAGCTATTTTGAATCAAATTCTAAGGGCTTGTTTAAGCCTATAGATATTAATACTACTGAGACCTCAAATTCTTGATTACATAACCTGATAGAATTTATTAAAATTAATAATGTTCTACCACATTGCATATGCATACATTTCTTTACAAGGGAATAATGCACATTATTGCAGTAAATCTTATATATAAAATCAGCCTTCATGTATAATTTTTAATGAATCCTAATTGAAAAAAGGGGAACACTTAAGCAACATTCTCTGTTTCTGCAATTAATTTTCAATAAAAATGTCATAACAGTCACTTAAGGCAGTAAGCATTTGTTGTGGCCTACCACAGGCCAGAGAAAAACTCAGAGCTTTTGATAAAAGGCAATAATAGCTACTCTTTGGTAAATGTTGTTAATAAACAGTGCTAATAACCGTGCCTTCTTCTGCTCAACTATGTCGCACCAGCAGCATTTCAATCTCTAATTGAATTTCAGTTCTTTACATTTGGCTAGTTACCAAAGTCACCAGGAAACAGAAGACTTCTACTGGACTGGGAATGCAGCAAGAAAAAGTAAGAGAAAAGGGCCACAAAACATCTTGTAGTACCATTCTGCATTCTCCTCTTTCAAATGCTTTCAGCAAACTACTGGAAATGGTCAGATAGAGGAATTATCATTGATACAAAATAGAATACACCAAGAACACAGTGATTTTCTTAATTAATACAGAAAGTTTTTTTAAATATGCAATTTTTACAAAACCTAGTTCCACAGTTTTTTCAATGGATTATTACTCTCTGAAAATTCAGTTGTAGTCCTACTTATCTGAAAAGTGTCTTGATCAAAGCCATCCATCACTGGGAAGGCTAAACCTGATAGTCAAATAAGGCATTGGAAAGTGATCTCCTATAACGGCTTTTGGAAAGGGAAGGGATGGAGTATTCAATAATGCATCCATTTCCTTTTCCTACTTCTAATTTTTCTCTACAATCCAAATATTGTCACTGCATGTATGCATGCAGCAGAATAATGTATTGACACTAATTATAAAATTATGGGATGCATATGTGCATTATGACATCCCAGGAAATTGATGCTATTAACTTTTAAGGTATTGCTATTATCGAAATAATCTACTTTTTCTTAAGAAACAGCAACAGAAAAGGATTACTAGGTAATGGCAGATCTTTATATTTTTTTTATCTGCCAGTCCACAGTAACTCCTTATAAATCATTAGACAAACTCTGCATTTATAGAATGCCAGTGAATTCAGTATTTGGTCATCTACTTTGAAAGAGAAGATCCCGTGATATCTATGCTGTTCTGTATTCCAGGATCGATCCTTTTTAAAATACAATAAACAGCTACCTGGTGTGACCACAGAATTACGCTGAGCCTAATTGTGATCAAAGAATACTCGAGATTATTAAGTGCAAGAAACAGGAAAAGTTAACTACCTGTAGACGTCTGTCATAGAATTGGGTTCAAAGTTTGAAAGGGAATGGATTTCAGGAGCTGTGTAAATCTGTATCAAATGCTGCTGATATGAGCTTGGTCCCTCAGGAGAATCTTCTTTTCTGTATGACTGCAAACCATAATCTAACACGGAAGAAAACAGGAAGCAAACTATTCAGTGGGTACTTCTTTGGAAGACGCGCAGTGGTAGACAGTAACACAACTTATCTAAATGAATTAATTTTCCCTATTTGAAATACATATCTTAGTCTAAAAATAGCATGTGTTCGGTAGTCTTGTCCCTCTAAACCCATCGCAAATATAGAATCTGGAAACCAAATATTTGGATAAGACTGCATGGCAGCAGGGATGTTGAACTACATGGCCCCTTCCAATCAGATTTCTTTTATGATTTTATAAAATTATATTAGGAGAATAGGCTCACTTCAGTGCAAGAGCTAGCATGCAAATGCAGGTTTCTGTTCTACTCATCCCCTGATCCTTATCTGGGGAGGCAAGTTGCTACAGTAACTACAAGTTGGACAGACTAGAGCTACTGAAAATCAGGTGGTGGACTTCACCAGCACATCACTAGCTTCAGAACAAAGGCATCATAAATGTGAAACATCTTTGCAGCTACACTTTTAGCCTAACATAGAAGAGATTCCCAGCATGTGACTTAGCATTGGAGAGGAGAAAACAGTAACCAACTTCAGTTTTCTTTCTGATATACACAGCATTCTGCTGAGTGTATGGGAAGGGAGGATGCAGATGTCTGGTTTTGTCTGGAGTGACTTCTAATTAAGATAGTCCTATAGCTTTGTTCTTTATGTTGGAGGTCATTGGAGTTTTTCAAATAGTTCCCACATTGGTTATTTGTGAGGTTTGTTTAACACTATCACATCCAGATAAACCACGAATATTTGAAGCCTCTAGAGTTCTACCAGTTAACTTCGGAACAATTTCACAAAGATCCCATTTAATTCAGAGGAGACGTGCTGATGTGATGCAACTGGTTTAATCCAAGTATCTCAATTTTTTACGCTTTTCTCCAGAACAGGCTCTAAGCAAAGTAGGTCGTTCTGAAGGCAGTAGGATACCAAAGGAGTTGGAGCAGTCATAGCCTTGTGTAGGAGCCTGAGTCATAGGATGAACCACTGAAAGACAAATCTGTTGCTGCTGGTTTTTAGATGGCTGTGGGTTATGCAGTGTGATAACTACTTTGGGGAGGAAGTAGAACACCAGATGATCATTGCTTTCATTCCCTTTGGCAGGTGCAAACTCAACTAGACTCTTCAGTGGCTTTCCTGCCCCTGCAGGCTGTCTTCCTGTACCAGGAGCAGACCAGTCCTGTAGCTCTGTCTCTGGGAGAATACAATTCAGTTTTGTGCACAGGACTGAAAAGCAGAGTTGAGTCTGCTTTTCTCCATGAAACTACCTTGTGTTTACCAATCAGTCAGCATTATTCCATGTCTTTACAGCACTGTCCATGGCTGAGGTTTTCTCTCTGTATCAAAACTGAGAACGAGAAAGTTTCTGCTCAGACTGATGTTGATAGGCACCATCATTTGTGCGATATGATGTGTGCATCAGGGAAACATGTTAAATGATTTGACATGATAATGTAACATGAAATTTCCTTCAGCATGGGGCACTTCTAGTGAAGGCTGGTATAGTCAGCATGAAATGTGGAGGTGCTTGGGAGGAGTGCTAAGTGTGAAATCTATACGCATTAGTAGGTTAGCTGGACAGTTTTGAAATTTTGTTTCTTATCTTCTCTTTACCTGCAATTTTACAAACCCATCGGTCATCTATCACACAGTTACTAGACTTCAACCGTCCATGATACATTTTGTGGTGGTGAAGATAGGCCATTCCTTGTGCAATATCAGTAGCAAAAGAAAACCTGAAAGATAAAACTCAATGAGCTCGTTTTTCCACTAAGCCTTCACTCAAGAGGGGCTCCAAAGCCTACTAAAGTTGACAGAAAACCTCCCTATGACTGCAATAGCTTTCAATTTGTGTCCCCGTGTTCATTTTCCAAAACACTTAAGGTGGGTTGCTGAAAGCCTTTAACTCCCACTCAGTTATCTGAGTCCATAGGCCTTTAGTTTCTTTTAGAATTTTCCAGTACCTTTGTATCCTTGAGAGTCCTTTCAAATGTTTACAAGAGAAATAATTTTTTATTAACTTCCTTACTTTATTTGAAGGGTTTCCTCCCTCACAATCTTTTTCTTTGCTGAATGCAAACATAAGGCAGAAGTAGAAACAGTGTGCCAAGACTATTCTCAAAAAACAATGTCATTGCCTGTGTGGAAGTTTTATTGACAATGTGAGCTCATTTTCTGTATTGGTAAATATAATAAAGCCTTTTTAGGTATGCTAATCACTTCACTAATGTGTCTTCACAAACAGATGCAGTGATTTTTAAGTAAATGAGGATGCCCAAGATATTTGAGAACAAAATGAAGTTACATGGGAAAAAAGGTTTAAAAACAGTTTTGCATTATAACTAGAGGTGGGCTGAAAAGTCATTGGCTTAGCATGACCAGTGCTAAACATATGATTGCTCAAAAATCCAGAAGACAATTTGGGCTGGATACTTGAATTTGCTTTCTTTCTTTCTCTTTCTTCTTCATTCTCTCCACATCATAGTTCAGGCCCACCTATCCAAGGACATCATCTAAAATTAACATCTTGTCCTAAACAGCATATAGCACAGCTTGTGTCATTTAGCTTTTAAAAAAAGGTTTTTCTACCTGAAGCCCCAGTTCAAAGGAATGTCTTCATTGAGCAGAACATCACTCAGGCTGCCTTTGGGGCAGTACTCTGTCACAATGGCAACATTTGGCACTTCTATACAACCTCCAATGAATTTGCAGAGATTGGGATGGTCAAGTTCTCTGTGAAAATCAACAGAAATCACAGCACAACAGCAATTTTAATGGATGTCCCTCCTGCTTTTTGTAGGGTAACTGGAAAACTAAGTGCCTTGTCTCGCAATGTAGAGAGAAAAGTAAAACAGGCATAAGTCTGGTGTCAAACTAAAGTTTGAAAGAAAGAGCAATATGAACTTACAGTCCAATTTGGACAAATTGTAACCCCTAAAGACCCAATGTAAAAATGGAACAACATACATTTCTTAGGTTTTACTTCTTACCTCACTTGCTTTACTTCTTTACGTATGGATTTGGACAGCGTGAATGCCTTCTTCATTATTTTCTTTATAGCCACTGTTCTACCATCGCTGAAACAGAATGAAATGCTGTTCACAGAGTTTTAGGCCAACTTCATAAGCCTGTCAGACTACAAAACAAAAATGGACTGGATTTTTTCTACAGTGGGTAGCTTTGTATCTCCAGAGATGAGGCACAGAACTTAAGCGTGTCCGTATTGTGGATGTGAATCTGAATCTGTGCACACGACAGGTGACAAGGCCCTGTTTCTATGCTAAGGGAACCATTTAGATTATATTCAAGCATCCTTGATCGGTGGATGACATTTGGAATGTGACAGTGTACAAGTCAGTTGAGGCAGTTGGGTGATGGAGTAGCTAGTGAAAAACATCAGAGCTAGTGAAAGTCATACAGCAACATCCCTGCTATCCATTGCTTCTGTCTACTGTTTTGGAGATCCACCACTGATATTTAACACCCTTTTGTTCTCATGGGTGAAATATTATCAGTAATGAAGCAGCTGAGTTTGAACAAAGCATTTTTCCTTGGAAGAATAAAGGAATCCTGTGGAGATACATGCAGGAATTTCAGTGATACCCACCATACAAATACAGAGTACTGGATCTGCAGTGTAGCAGATGCAAGTGTTTCACCAATGAGACTGAATGCCTCATTCTTAGATCTTCCACCCTTGATGTTGTATTTGACATTGATTCATCTGAGGAAGATGATGATGATGATAATGATGATGATGATGATGATGAAAATGTCATCGTTCAGAAAGCAGCAGCAAAAATGCTCACTGTAAAAGATCTATGGTGGACATAGTGTCTCATCAATGAAGTGGCTGCAATTTTCCAGAACAGTGATCTGTCCTGAAAAGACAGCTGGTCCCCCAGCCAATGATCCTAAGAAAACTCCTCTATCCTGCAAAGCACAGATCCTGCCCTGTGTATTCAAATGGTAGGTACTACTTCCATCTTTGCACATGTTCCACCTGTATCCTTTACATTATTTTTATGGGAAAAATTGTTTTCTGGATAGCAGGATATGGCTACATTGTTTGCCCGTATAGTTATATGATGTGCACCCTTATAATGGGATCAAGAGGCGAAATGCTCTATATCTTGAGTCACATCAGCTGGTTTAAGGACAAGATTTCTGTGCTACTGTACAGGATGTCACTCTTTAGTGCAAAGAACATAGCTGTGCTCTGCCTGCATTTTAGAAAAAGGGCTGCATAAAAGCATGGGCTCCAATTTTATTGGAACAGTAAGGACCGTTCATTAACAGATGCAAGACACGTTATGCAGCCACAGCCTTTTAACAATTTCCCAAGAAAAAAAAGGAGAAATGACAACCAAAACAGAAGCCTGGCATATAAGATATTCCACAGCCACTATGTAGAACAGAATCCAGATGATGATATTGACTTACTGGATTTGGTCTAATAAGAGAAATGCAAGCTTCTGCACTATCTATTCAGTAGTGCCAGTAAAGTGGCAAGAACCAGAAAGCAATGTTAAACTATAGGACAGTAGGTACTGCAGTAAATGAGTAGTATATCGACTTACTATTTCCCAGTGTGGGTGAAGTACTGTTTACTGGACATGTTGGCAGCTGCTGTGCAGGAGCTCAGAGCAGTGATACAGCTGGCATTGGAGTCACTGGGTGCTGGGGGAGCACTCATCATGCTTCCTGTAGCTGTTCGTACTATACAATCTAAAAGGAATGCGGGATGAGAAAAGGCACCTGAAAGATGCATATTATTGCCAAAACAGACACTCCAGAGGCAGACAAATATAGGGAATTCTCCCAATCTTTGCATCTCAGCTGGTCTTGTTAACACTTAAGACAGAAAGCCATTGCTTGGAATGTGACTGCTGCATAGAAAGTAAAAAACTTCCAGGGGTGATTCATTGCCAGAGATCTTTCCCATTAATCCTCAGGATTTGACGTAAGTCTAATTTCTCCGCTTTTGGGATGATTAGCCCTTGGTACTACTTGGATGTCGAGGAGAACCCAGGGAAGCAGAGCAAGCCCTGTGCCATACTTTAACAAGTCTATTTGGAGCTCCTAGAAGACTGTAAAGTACAGGGATGTGGGAAGTGATTCTCACACCAAAGGGAAGTTAGAGAAGAGCAACAATACAGTCAGTTGAAAAAAAAATCAGTGATCTCAACGTATGTTTTTAAATTTCTGTTGACCAGCTCAAGGTAACAAAATGGATTTAAAAAAAAATAATTAATGAATTACATATCATTTCGCCATCTCCAATTGAAACCCAGATTTAGCCAATTAGTCTCAGCATTGCTGAAACCTCTCAACTCTCCTTGGTATAAGTATCCAATACAGAGTTGCTGAGGAACTTCCGCATCTCACCCTGCATCTCACCCCTGGTTGAGAAACTGATAACTGCTGGCCTGGATAGGCACACCCTCCTTTGGGTTAAAAACTGGCTGGATGGCCGGGCCCAAAGAGTGGTGGTAAATGGGGCTAAATCCGGCTGGAGGCCGGTCACCAGTGGGGTTCCCCAGGGCTCAGTGCTGGGTCCAGTTCTGTTTAACATCTTTATCAATGACCTCGATGAGGATTGAATGTACCCTCAGTAAGTTTGCG